TCGGCTCGGCTCGGCACGGAATGGCACGGAGAAAACACCTCTTTCCTTATTGTTGCGTAATAGCCTGGTTAGAGATTTCTGTGGCTCAACGATTTCTGCGTGGCATAAATTCGCCACAGTATTTTAACAATTAAAAACTTTTAAACTTGTAACGGTAATCAGTTTTGTGGAACGTAGTGTTGCATGTAAGGCGACGAATGATCGACGCAAGTGAAGAATTCAACGGAATGCTAGAATACAATATTGTGACATGTTATTATCGTTGGAAGCTTCTCTCTTTCTCTGCACTAATATACAAGCAATTAATGAATACTGTTAAATATGCAAAGAAATTAATGTTAAAATCGTTGATTAATAAAAAAAAGTATTACCATATTTATAATATTTCTTATTTTAGATCAGAAATATATCTTGCCTCTCTTGAAATGTTGCAGCTTTGTCTTTTCGGAACTTTACCACTACATCGATGATATATGCACTGCTTTTCACGCAACCTAATCCTAGCCTTGAATGAAGCAATAGCATTTGTACAACAAGTGAGCACTTTTTTCCATTATTAGGTATGAATAAAATTTTTATAATTGAAATATAAAAGGACGACAGGCAACCTTATCAGAAGCAACAAGCTCGAAAATAGACCTTAAGAAACTATATGAAACAAAGTGGCCCTGAAAATATAATGCTGTAACAGCAACCAATTGCTTTTATATGAGGTTCAATAAAATGCCCTCTTTCACGAACTGAATTTCTGGATAATAAAAACGTTCAAGTGTGACAAGAAAAGACTCCGAGAAAATAAACTGGAACATTTTCAGTTTATACTTTCCTCGTCTTCATAAGACATTAATACCAGTCAACTCCGTCAGAAGAATATCAGTCACTGAAAATTTTTATTTCAGAAGTGAAACTTTTTAAAGAAGCACAACTTTGGATTACAGCAGAAATAGACGTGAGTATTTGCAGAGTGCTGTGGGTATTGTCAGAACCTGGGTGTTCCTCGGAACATTTAAAAAAAAGGGAAAATGGAAATAAGAAAAATGCATTATGAACTCTGTAAATAATAGACTAAATTTTACTTGAGAACAGAGATTCAGAGTAACTGTATTCTCTCCCATACCTTGCAGACAATAGCTGAAACAGCTTTCTGGAAGTCTTTATGGAATTGCGAATACATCTGAAACCATACGTTGCGACCCGCGACCCAGACTCGTAAGTGTATGGGACCCCCTAACCGCGTACCACACACCCGGTTTTTGTCATGAAGTAGGACTTGATGTGTTTNAAAAGCTCGTGGAAGACTTCAGTTTCCAAATCTTTTAAAATTTGTCAGGTGGAACGATATTACCAGAAGCTATGCTGGGAAAGATAAGGCATGAGTAGAAAAAAGTAAATTGGTGATTTATACAAAAATTTCAGAATAATTTTGAAACATCGAAATAGATCTACAATGGGTAAAGTTATTACTGTTGCTTTTTAAATACTGGGACAACAGCAGGTTGTTTGTACAAGGATGAAATCTCACATGTTACAATAACATTTATAACTTAAAGATGGAATAAAATTATGAGACCAATTCTTAATCATGATGATGGAAATCTATCAAATGTCAACACTCTTGGATGGCTTAAGGTGGCTTACACCTTCGCTAACATCAATATCAGACACACGAGTCGCAATTTTAAAATTTCTTAAATTCACATAGTTTTGGGTGGAGTCCATCTGGGTCCACTCGGCACGTCGGCCACTGATCGGCCTATTGCACCTGCCCCGGGTGATTATGATGAAGGAGAATTTTGTGGAATGAAGATTGACAGGGGAAACCGAAGTACTGCCCCACCACAAATCCAACTTGACCAGACCAGGGCTCGAACCCGGGCCTCCGAGTTGGGAAGCCAGCCACTAACCGCTTGAGCTATGGCGCGGCCATCACAGGAGCCGTAGATAAAATAATTAAGTAAGAAGGCATATAGTCGGAGTCGGTGAAGATGTGACAGGGTTTGATTTGATGTAATCAGGACAGATTAACTTCTTTAATATTAAAAATAATACATGAGAATAATCTCAGCAAATTGTCATGGAGATACTAGATCACCTGACAAGAACTGTGATGCATGAAGCTCAATCCTCCTCATGTCCGACGAATCAGGATCTAGGTATAAAACCAGAGAAAGAGGTGGAATACCAAGGACCTCAAATTCGATAACATTTGGATAATGAAACCACCAAACATACGTATTGGCAAAAGTGCCGATATTTTGTTATATAATCCATACAGATGTCACATGTTTTGACTATCGGTATAGGAATGTATCGCTGACAACAGTGGATGTATTTGTGGGGGGGGGGGGAGTGCTGAGAGCTCTGCATAAAGCCCTCCCCGCAGTCCTGTTATTTCTATTCTTCCGCTGTAGTCCTTTATCCTCGCCACATGAAACCGGTAGCCACGCAGTGATAATACTGCCACTGACGCCATGGCAACGAATTGATCGCCAGAGAGAAATGGTCACACCAATAAAATGTGGGCTGGTGCAGCACCTCCTTCCAACCACTACGGATAAGTTCACAATCAATCTAAAATGGGATGTGGGCGTGATTCTCGATATTCCTATACGCTTCCTACTTGAGAAGTAACTAGGAGTTGTGGGGATGCCTTACGTCACCTACTGACTTTCATGTGGTTACATGAGGGCTATTCGAAAAATAACCACGATTTATTTTAGAAAACCAATGTAGGAGCGAGAGAGAGTTCGCGCAAGCGTGGTAGCGTCACATGGCTCATTGCCTTGTAAATCATCACATAACTGATCACCTAGTGTTTGTTCTTGTCTTTACAGAGTCAGTTATGATGTGACCTGCGACTGATAATCCCGATAGCTGCGTTATTCGCTAACTTCACAATAAAAGTAGGGTGCTGAGGGAATCCATCATGAATTATGCGCGTTTAGGGCCAAAATATAATGCGTGAAGGAACTATAAGACAGAGGTGTAGAATATTGAAAGATGGGCAAAATACATCCACGATGAATAACGAAAATTTTAAACAAAAATCTGCCAGAAACTCATGAAAACTGTTTTTTAGGACAGGAAAAGTGTGTTAATGGTGGAATTCATGCAACAAGGGGCAACAATAACGTTAGAATTGTATTGCTAATCACTAAAAAACTGCGTAGGTTCATGGGAATGCTGACATACGGTGTAGTGCTCCTCCATGACGATGCGCGTTCACATACGATTACAGATGCTCGCACTCGAGCATTGCTGGAGCATTTTAACTTGTAGTCTTTTGACAATTTCCCTTACAGCCTTCATCTGGCTCCGAGCTGCCAGCACCTCTTTATCTACCTGAAGAACTACTTGGAATCACAACCCTTCAGTGATATTGAGGAGCTGATGGAAGATGTCAAAATGTGGCTGAGCTCACAAGCGGCAGACTTCATCGACAAAGGAATACAAAAAGCTTTTCCCCGTTACGACAAATGCCTCGATTCCGGTATTGACTACGTTGAGAAGCAGCTCAGGCATATACACATCTTTTATGTATAATAATCTTTTTCCCCCATTGATTGTTTTTTTAATAGCTAAGCAGAAGTTGCTTTCCGAATAGCCCTCGATGTATATAGTGAGGCTAGCAAGAATCTTGTATTGATTTAAAAACTTATTGAAATATTACTATGCATAATTTCCACTATTTCATTTGAAAATGTGGAGTTAATCGATAAGCCAATTTTTCTTTTTCCTTGGCACTACAGCCCCAGTGGGCCTAGGCCTACCTCCATGAACTTCTCCGTTCACTTCGGTTTTTCTAGATCTTAGACATACGGTAGGACTCCTTGGGCGGGTGATCAGCTCGTCGCAAGGCCTCTACCTGTACACAAACACAGAAAAACACACACAAACATCCATGCCCTGAGTGGGATTCGAACCTACGATCCGGCTTCCGAGCGAGCGAAGACAGTTCATGCCTTAGACCGCTCGGCTACCGTGACCGGCCGATAAGCCTATAGGCTCAAATTTTCTAATTAAATGGCATACTTTTAAGAGCCCTAAGAGAAACTTACCGATATTGAAGGTACAAAAGACTGCCGGTCTCGTAAGTCTCCAAGTCGGACTCATGCTCAGTAACAAGGACTTGCCATTTATGAGGGTCCACCTGACTGCCTGTCCAGTAAGTCTCGCAATTGGGTTCATGGTCACATACGCAGTAACAAGAACTTACCAATGCTGAGATAGAGCTGACTGCCAGTTTCGTAAGTCTCCCAGCTGAGTCCTCTGTACCTTGTCTTCTCCTTCACTGTCCCGTAGTCAGTCTTCTGCACCCTCGGCTCATTTGGGTCCCTGTAGAAAAAATGACAGATTTCTGATACGCTAATTAGGCAATATTCGATACGTAAGAAGAACAAGGTAGTGAACGAATGATAATTTCTGCCAATTAAGAGTTTCTGGTATTTCGTATCAGAATAACTTAAGTGACAGGTAACGTACAGCAATAAAAAGTGACCATTACGCGGAGTAACTAAAGTTGGTGAGATACGCAGACTGAATATCCGCGGATTAAGCAGAGTAATATTGCCAGGTCATACAGACTGACCTTGCCGGTCATGGTAGCCGCGCGGTCTAAGGCATGTACTGTCTTCGCTCGCTCGGAAGCCGGGACCGTGGGTTCGGATCTGTTTCCTGTGAGGTACGGACTGAATTCTTATATATTATTCTTA